GAAAGAAAGAAAGAAAGAAAGAAAGAAAGAAAGAAAGAAAGAAAGAAAGAAAGAAAGAAAGAAAGGGTTCCCTTGTGAGCCGAATGACTATAGAGGAAAACCACAGGCTGAGGGTGGTGGAAGAAGTGTTGTGCAGCTTAGTCTCTGTATTGAGGGAGAAGCATTCTACAGGGAGGAGAACAGACAGCCTTTATTTGAGCACAGCATTGTGACAGTCTTTAGGATGCAGTAAGGACAAATTCTATAGACTAGCCCTTCAGAGTTGGGGTATGGTGCTATTCATCTTCAGTTACATAGTTAATATATAGACCAAGAGATATTAACTATATCTTGGGGTTCAACTTGATCCTGTTAATGGGGAAGAGATGCTAAGCATACCAGTATGACAGGAGCTGTTATTTATCTGATTGCCTTCTACTCTGCAAGATTAGGATTGTGTGTATATAACAGAAGTGGAAATGCAGACATTGAAGAGTAAAATTAAATATCAGTATATCCCATGAAATTGCAAGATAACTGGAGAGGTGTCTCAATAATAGATAATTGCATTTGTAATACAGGTTCTCTACCAGTAAGAGTGTCCAAATTAGTTCAGAAAATTCCTCATGCAAGTCTTTCCTCTTGGAATGTAATAAATTTATTTTTATCCAAAAAGCTGTTTATTATATATTGTGGAGATAGTTCATGTTAGGTATTGAGGCTTAGATGGGGAGATAGAGGTTCAGGGCAGGAGTTGTAAGCCTTTGCCATGATTGCTTAATACATGGTCAGGAAATTGGGCAGACAGTATATAAAATATCTTTTTCCCTCTTACCCTGTGATCAAAGAGTTTCTTCCCTTCAGCCTTAGTTTTTTCCTTTCTTTCTTTTTCAGCTTAACAGGAACATTGGTCACCAACAGAAGGGCATCACTGTCTCAGGCCTCAAGACAGGCACCCATCTCTGGATGCCAGTTTATAGCGGGTACCAGAGGAAAGCTGGCAGCAGTAACTCCTCTCCCCATGCATCCTAGCCAGTGAGTGCTACATCCTTTGCAAGTGGAGTTACTGGCCTACCCTTACCCCATGCACTCTTCCTGTCTGCACTGCCTGGGCCAAAGGGCAGAAACAATCTGCTTTTCTTCCCCAGGACATTCCCAGGCTTGGGGTTTTTCTATAGGTTTGAAAGTAAAGGGGGGTTGGTATGGGTGGGGGAAACCTGACAATAAAGAGATTGGATCCAAATACGCTCTGAGATGGAATAGTTTGCTTGCTTATTTGGTTGGTTGGTTTTGTTTACATCTATTGTTGTTGTGTGTAAACGGTATTAGGTGGCAGACTTGTGTATGCCACACCATCTATAGAGGTCAAAGGACAGCTATGTGGAGACAGTTTGCTCTTTCCACCTTTATGTGGGCTTTGGAGATTGTCAGATTTGCACAGGAAACCCTTTACCCACTGAGTCTTCTCAGTGTCTGTATTTCTGTGATACAACACTGACCAAAAGCAACTTGGGGAAGACAGGATAATTTTATCTTCTAACTCCAGGAAACAGTCTAAGAAACTAAGGGAAGTCAGGGCAGAAACCTGGAGGCAAGAACTGATGCAGAAGCCATGGAGGAGTGCTGCCTAAAGGTTTGCTCCTCATGACTTGCTCAGCTTGCTTTCTTATAGTGCCCACATTGGTCTGGAACCTCCCACATCAATCATCAATCAGGAAAATGCCACACAGACCAATCTGGTAGAGGAATTTTTTTCACAATTAAGGTTTCCTGTTTCCTATAATGGCTCAAATTGACAGAAGTAGCCAGCACTAGCTTGTGGTTTTTCTTAGTGGTATCCTGGCTCCTACCCACCAGAAAGCTGGTATATTGAACACTTCTGTTCTCCACTAACTTCTCTTCTCCAGGGAACAGTTTCTTGTCCAATACTGATTGATCCATTTGTACCAGTAGTCCTTTGCTAAAATGATTAAAGTTAGGTGTGACCGAAAATGCCTATCATGCCAGCACTAAGGGAAGTAGGAGAAGGCTCAGTTTGTAACTGATCAGGACTACTTGAGACCTTGTTTCAACAACTCTATTTAACCTCTTTTACTGTTATAGCCAAAAACCCTTTAAGCCAGTCATTCTATAAATATTCTTCATGCAAACCCCAGAATTGTTGTTTCTAATTTTAAACTATTAAAAAAGAAACAGATGAGCCGGGCAGTGGTGGCGCACACCTTTAATCCTAGCACTTGGGAGACAGAGGCAGGTGGGTTTCTGAGTTCGAGGCCAGCCTGGTCTACAGAGAGTTCCAGGACAGCTAGGGCTACACAGAGAAACCCTGTCTCAACCCCCCTCCCCCCCAAAAAAAGAACAGATTTTTACTGAGCTTTTATCCAATTTTTTATAGTTCCATAAAAATAAGAACACTCACATATTTCCAAGAACTTCAAAGTTTTTCTTTAAATCTGAATGATAAAATGATAAAAAAGTATTTAATTGCAAAACCCAGTAAGACTTAAATTTTTTATTTTTAAATTTTATGTGTATAAATGTTTTGCCTGCATTTATGTCTCTGACACTTATGTGCCTAGTGCCTGCAGAGGGTGTTGGATGCCCTGAAAGTGGAGTTACAGATGGTTTTGAGCTACCATGTAGGTGCTGGGAACCAATCCTGGCATCTCTGCAGTAGCAGCCAGTGCTGTGCCACCATTCCATCCCCATCTCTGAAGCACTTCATAACTAGACAACCTGAAGGTTCAGAGCATCCAGATACTCTTGTCTCAATAAATAAATGGAACAAGCTAAGGTATGTAGACCAGGATATCCTCCAACTCTGCCTGCCTCAGCTTCTAGAATATTGGGATCAATAACCTGGCTTGTTTTTCGAATTATTGATTTCAGGTGCAGCCCTTTACCAAGTAGGACAGATCTTTATAACTCACTTTAGCTTTGTCTCTGGGGTGAGGAAAGGGAAGATTTTTACTTGTTTAAGCTATTTTGTATGGTCTTTTGGTGGAAAATGGAGGCCCTCTAAAAGAGGTGATTTGTCTATGAGGTTCTGGCCAGTCTGCCTATCTTGAACATTTGCCTAGTTGTCTCACCTGAGCTGGTAGCTTCAAGCTGGGGAGATTGTACACAGATCTTCTGTTACTAATTTTATCTGGTATTTCCCATCTGAACAAATCAAACTTGAATTCTCACGATTATCACAGCAGGTCTTTTTCAGCCGTTCATGGTTGACAAATAACCTCAGTCCAATTAAATGCATAGCAACAGAAGTAATCTCATCAGCATGGGGCTGTACTTCTACTTTGCTGACTTTGTTCCTGTTACTGTTTGGGAAATGGCCTCTTGATTCAGCTGCTGCTCTGGTCATTTCAGTCAGTGTTTCTGTACTAGCTGCCAGCTCTTTAGGAACTAAATGTTCCCTTCTGGGAAAAGCCTTCCCAGCTTAGGACTCTAGCTCAGAGACGGGCCTGGGTTCTTACCCATGCTTGCAAACCTGCTCTGCTGGATCCCTTATTGAACATCTCTAGTTCTAGCTACCAGCCATACAACAGCAGCTTCTGCCTGGGTTTTGACTACAAGGTTTGGTAGAGAATAGATTCTGAGTATGCAACAGTACTGAGGCCTCTCTGGGTAGTTTTCAAATTTGTGAACTCCTGTCTCAGCCTCCTGAGTGCTGAGACTACAGACATGTGCCTCCACACGTCTCAGTTTTGGTTATACTCAACTTTTGCAGTACTGGGTTCTAGAGTATGTATACTGAGAGGAGGGAGGGTAGAGGTTTCATGGGTATTCTGCTAAATTCTTTACAGGCAGTGTATCCCTTACAGTCTCTCATCAGTGGAGACACGCATCCTGTTAATGTGCTGGGAACTGACAGTCTGCCTAAGCTCATGTCACTTTAAAGTCATAATGCAGCTCTACTTGTAGCCTACATCACTGAAAAATACTGTTCCCGATTTTTAGTCTCTTGGGCCTTCCTCTGTACATTCCCAGTGTTCTTTGCTTAACTATTAATGCCTGTACCTCTCTCCACTTTTATGGAACGTAACCTATGACATCATACTCTGTTCTGTAGCAGCCACACTGAGATGTCTTTTCTTCATGAATCCTCTTCCATCCCCTACCCTATTGCCATTCTCCACTAACTTTTCCATGGTAATATGGGCTCTAGCTAGCCCTTTAACTCCACTCACTGCTTAAGGTTTCAGGCATGTTCCACTTAATGACATTCCAACAAAAGGGTATCCACAAACGCCATGTGATTGAGTTGCATGAAAACACAAAATGTCATGTTTTAAAAATAAGCTTACAATTCTGTTGTACCACATTTACAGCTATCTTTGGCTTGCTGGTCACAGGCAATACATGCCTAGGCCCCTTTTCATATTAGATTAAAAAGGTTTTCATGTTTTTATGTATACGAGTGTTTTGTTTTACCTGTCTTTATGTTTGTATACCATATACATGCAATCCCTAAGGACAAGAGAGGGCATTGGGAATGGGAAGTTGCAGATAGTTGAGTGCTGGGAACTGAACTTGTAATCAGTTTCTTTCATACTTACTTTGTATCCCCCTCCCCCACTTTGTTGATCCAGGCTGGTTATGAACTCTTAATGCTACTGACTAGGCTTCCCAAGTGCTGGGAGTTTATAGGTGTGTGCTAACACACCCAGCTTTGCTCTTTACAAGTCCCCTAAAGGTCATCATTATGAAGTTGAAAACTGTGATTGAAGTCAGTAGCACATACGAAACAGTGAAACTACCATGCCATCCCCTGAGTGGTCCCACCAAGAAAAGAATTGGACAGAACATACACACAAAAGCAATGGAGCACTAGTTACACAAGAGGCACTGATCCTTGCTTTATTCACGCAGTTATAGCCAACAATGGGAATTATGGGCAGAGGTACAAAAAAAAAAAAAAAAAAGAAAAGAAAAACCTGTAGTCATAAACAGTTATAGTCACATGGCAGTGAGTGGTGGTAGCAGGTCAAACAGTATATGGCCCATCTCTTGACCTACCTGGTTGAGGGAAAGTTCCCTCTACCACTTCACAGCCAAGTTACTTGGCCACATTTGGCCTATACTTGAAATTTCATAGGTCACAGTGATTAAAAACAACATAGTCAAGACAGCAGGGCTAAGAGACTGTTCTTGGGCCATTTAGCAAGTTTTAACAGTCTGGTGGCAGAAAAGTTGAGAAGCACCGTGTATGTGTCCTTGTCCTGGTGGGTGCAAGTAAGGCAAATTACAGCACAGACCAACAAGATTGGCCCTCCTGTGGACCAGTGAAGAATACCTCACAGCTGGAGGCAACAAGACCACACGCGCAGCAGTATCTCTTGGTTTCTAGGTCATACTCAAGTTAGTACAGAAAAGCATTTCAGAGGAGGAACTTTTACTGACCTAGAACACAGGTTGGAGGAGCTTCCTTAAGTGCTACTGTTCAGACTCTTACAAATTCTTTGTACTACACATTTCCTCAAAAAGAGGACTAGCTAGCCTAACAGAAAATTCCAAAGAGGAGGAATCTAGCACCTGGCAGTTTCAGCTGTTTTCACATGAAGCAATGAGGAATTGGCTAGGAAGAAGTAGCAAAAATCCTCACAAAAGTAAAGAATTAAAACCTACAGTTATTTTCTAGACACTATAAAACAGGCTGCTGTCCCATATCTTATCTTTTAACCACTCTCTCAAGGGAAGTCATATCCTAGTCATGTAGGTAGCTTCAAGAGACGCTGAAAGGAACAATGGCTGCCTAGCTCCAATATCTGCCAATTTTGAGTTTCTGAGGACAAAGAGAACTTGCCAGAGCCCAGGAATCAAGTTTGTTGTTTTGTTTTTAGCTACATTTAATAAGCACTTTATTGTAGAAAAGAAAACCGAAGGACAGATCAAATTGAAAGAATTACTGTTATAATAACTTTAATTTATCTTGCAATTTACAGAAGTCTATGAACGATTTTAAAAAGCACCTCCTTACCCCATCACGTTTCTCTGACAGTTGTTAAAGTAGGCAACGAGTATGTCAACAGCTTGAATATCGGTATCTTGCAAGGATTTCATAACAATCACTCGCCAAAAGAACTTGGCAGTTTTTCTATCTTGTTTTTAACTCAATAGTACATCCATTCTGATGGTAACCTGTCCAGCCAAATCTCCACCACATTTTGGAAAAATCAATGGTGATTAGCAAATTAGTTAGCTTTGGCACGGAGCTGTGCTCGCTTGCCTGTGACAGCCTGGAAGCCAGTTTTGATACTGGCAACAGAGCATCGAGAATGACAAGTCTCACACTGTAAGAAATAGAGTCGGGTGTCCTTCTGTAGGATTGTGTCTGGTGATCGGCATGTGTGACAAGTGACGTATTCCTCTGCAAGAAAAGCAACACATTACCTGCTAGACAGTTTACCCATGCAGATGGAGAACCTTAACTAAGCATACCTACTCTAAGGGTAAGAAAATATAAACTAAGCTGTCTTATATGCCTTCGGCAGTAAAAACAGTTTGAAAGGACTTCAAAGCCCAAGTAAATAGGAAGTTTGCCAGATGCCTATGGTTGGATCCATTTATGGACGATTGATCCACTTTTGCCTTATATGTGAACAGGCAAGGTATGCCAATTTTTAAATGATTATGTAACAAAGAGGGGCTGAGACAGGTCAAGCCATAATAAGAGGCATGTGTCTCTGACTTGGTCTTTAGTGCCAGAATCAGCCAGCAGAGGCTGCATGAACTCAGCTTTTTGCCTCCTGCTCATCATTTAGCCTTGGCTGTCCTAGACCTCATTATGTAGACCAGGCTGGCCTCAAACTCAAGAGATCTGCGTGCTTCTGGTTCTCAAGTGCTGGGACTAAAGGGATGTGCCACCGTGCCCTGCCCCATTTCCCATCTTTTTAAGTCTTGCTTTTCCATGTTCGTTACTACAAAATATGGTAACATTAAATTATACACTTACTGATGTATCTTCTCAAGACATTTTCTATCTGTTTTTGTTGGAATCTTCCTTTGATTACAAGTTGGTTATTACCATCTATAGAACCACTATGAAAGAAAACAAAAATATCCCCATTATTTTTGCTTGCTTTCCTGAGGGAGTCAAATTCCAGCACCTTCATGCTTAAGAACTTAAAATATATTCAGTAGCATAGGATAATTTCTAGGGTTGATGTTTTACATTATCTGGTTTCTCAAATTTTATTTATTTTCTTTTCTGTAGACAGAAACTTATGTATCCCAGGCTGGCCCCTGAACTCCTAGATCCTCCTGCCTTAGCCTTTCAGGTGCTAACATTATCGGTATATACACACACCACTCACTGTACATAGCCTCAATTTTTTTTTTTTAAAGTTTATCTTCTGCAAACATTTTATTCTTAATTATGTGTGTATGTATATGTCTGTGTAGGGGTATGTGCATGTGAGTACTGGTTCCTGTACAAGCCAGAGGTGTTGGATCTCCTGAAACTGGAGTTATGTTATAGGTGGTTGTAAGTCACCTAACATGAGTGTCAGAAACCTAACTCAGGTCCTTTGCAAGAGCAGTATCTGCTCTTAACTGCAGAGTCATCTCTCTAGCCCCTCAAATTATTATTATTTTTTTCTTTTCCTTTTTGAGACAGTGTTTCTTTATGTAGTCTGGTTGTCCTGGAACTCCCTCTGTAGACAGGCTAGCCTCAAACCCAAGAGATCCACCTACCTTTGCCTCCTGAGTTCAGGTTAAAGGTGTGCACCACTACTGCTGGGATCTTCAACATTCTTTTTAATTTAATGATTTACTCATATTTCTTAACATTTAATCCAACTTCAGCTATCTCTAGTAACAAATGGCTTGATTTGTAGCTGACTGTATGTCCAAAACAGTATCCTTAATTGGGTTTGATTGTTTGTTCAATCAACAAAGAAAAAGAAACTCTTACTGAATGCACAACAACTGCAAATCTGAGGGAGGTATAAATATAAAAAGGCTGTGTGTTATTTTTAAAATTCTGAAACCAAATATGGTGGTACTCCCAGCATGGGAGAAGCAGAGACAGGAGGACACCATGGGCTTAAGTCAAGCCTGGGGTAGCTTAGGCAAGAGGATCAGTATGTGCGCCTAGAAATTCAGGACTAGCCTATGCAACATAGCAAAACCCTATCACAAAAAAAGGTTAAAAATCAAAGTACTCACAGTTTGATTTAGTAACATATGATGATATAGTTACACTAAAATTGTGAGTTGTATGTCAAGAAAGCTGTTACCAAAAAATGTTTTAACTGAAATCCAATGCTACAAGTTGTCAATAATAAACTCAATGATTAGAAAGAGCTAACAAATACTTGAGAAAGTAAAGATCCTTGTTAAACACTATTGCTTGTTAAAAACAATAAATCACAAAGTAAGATATCATTAAGTCTAGCAGAGTTAAATTTACTATTTGTTCCTATCTTAACATAAAGCAAACTTCTTCAGGAACTGTGATTTTCCTCAAGGGAAAAAGCATATACCATAAATTGTAACCCTTGATACCCTAATTCCAATGTAGGGCATTTTTCACTATCAAAAAGAAAACAAAAAACAAGAAGGAATTTTCCCAATAACTCAGAAATATTTACCCCATTGACCATAAAGTTCACTAATCACAACTTATTAGGATATATCCCACCTCTACAAAAAGTGCAGCTTATTCTGAGAAGCAGAGCAGTGAGCACTCTGGCTGTGCTGCTAACTACGTGACAAGAGCTTACCAAACTGGTTGGTTGTCAAACAACCAAAAGACTATTATTTTCTGCTTCACAGAACTGTATGAAATGATACCTACAACCAAGCAGAACTTGGCATGTGCCTTGCACTATTAGGTAATCAATGTTAGATGCCATTGTTGCAACCCAAATCTACATTATTTAAAGAGACACTGGTAAAAAGACATCTGTTTGGCTCCATGAGTTCCTGGCTTCCCCGAATAATTACCTCAGTATCTCCATTGGTGAGCTCCATAGATGGAGAATGCTAGTTAATCTCAGACCCTAGCTTTATTTATTTTTGGTTTTTCAAGACAGGGTTTCTCTGTAGCCTCAGCTGTCCTAGAACTCACACTGAAGACCAGACTGGCCTTGAACTCAGATATCTGACTGAGTATGCATCTATACTTGGATTAAAGCTGTACCACCACTGCCTGGCCCAGACCCTGGTTTGAAATGGTCTCTCCTGTGGCACTCATTACCATGTAAGCCCTGCTTCATCAACAGCCTCTTACCAGTTATGGGGGAAAGCTGACCTGACAAGAATTGAGTTCCTGTATTCATTTCCTATAAAAGGACCCAAGAATTCCAAATAGTGACTGAACACAGTAGTGCCTGCAGTGCTCATTCCAACACCAAAGACCTGCTCAGATAAATCACTGTCAGCTCCATTCTCTATCCATAAGGTGCCAAAGTCTCCCCTTTCCCACCTGGCCTAAAAGTTCCCCTGGGACTCGAGATGGTTTTATTTTCCCCAGCATGTTCAATTACACAAAGGGTTTTTGTGAAGTGAATAGTTAAGTACTATTACATAGTTTCTTACCTTGTACCCAATTCTGCCAATAAAAATGCAAGGAGATGTTTGGGTTGACGATGTAATCTAAAGAGAAAGTCAAATACTTAAAAATCTTTCATGGAAATCCTAAAAAACAAACAAACATCCCATGCTGTTTGTCATTTCACTGTGATTACTCAGTTTCTAGCAGAACATCAGTATACAACTCACTTACGCACAGAGACAAGGATCTGTACAGCCCTGCCTATAATCCCAGTACCCATAAAGCTGAAGCAGGATGATCAAGCTTAATTTTAAAGCAAGCCTGGGGTAGTGGGTGCCTGTTCCCAAAACAAATAGGCTGAATAGCCTGCTCAGTAGTTAAGAACACTGGCTGCTCTTCCAGTGAATAAACTAGGTTTGATTCTCAGCACTCATAAGGCATGCAGTTCACTTATCTCTAACTCCAGGTCCAGGGAATCTGATTCTTTTTTCTGGCCTCATTACCAGGCGTACGTGTGGTACACAGACATACATGTGCACAGAACACCCATACATATTAAAAAAAAAAAAAAAAGAAAAGAAAACCACCACTAAAAGGTATATGCTATATCACATGGTATTTGTAAATACACCTACCGAGTAAATACCTAAAAGCATGAAAGCAAAACAAAACACTAAAATCATAATTAAGTTTTGATTATCTACCTACTAAAAGTAGATTTACATTTAACTTTTAATTTTCTGTGTCTTTTCTAATTTGTAGTAAACATAGACTATTACTGTCATTAGCACAGAAGTAAAATATTTTGAATAATGCTGAAGTAATGAAAATGGGTTACGTCTTGTGTAACAAGCAAGTATAACGTAGGCAATTGAAAACAGTAGGATAAAGTCAATGAGTGGAGAAGCCCTGCCAGACAGGGCACAGCTGAGGAGATCTTAAGTGGGCCAGGCAGTGACCTGGGAGTGACCTCAGCACAAGGTACAATGGACTCACTTGGGTCCTGACAACTAAGGAAGAAGTTTAAATTCAGCTACTTCCTCAGAGTACATTGCTTATTTGGCAGACCCAGCCTGGCCCCTGCCCAGCTAACGAGGCTCCCGACTCCTGCCTGGGCACTCCATCTAGTCTCTTCACTCCTGGCTCTAAGGTTAGGATCTCTTCCATCCTCAGCCCGTCATGTGTGCGGGGACTTTGCCTGATGAAACAGCATGCTGACACTGAGTCATCTCTCCCGCTCCTAGGGTCTACGCCACAGGCAGCACTAACTTACTTTCTCATCTTTGGATGAGATAAAATGGGCTCTGAGAACAAGACATGAACTGTGACTTCCCCCAACCTATGACCTACATTTGCACTGAAAAATATTACAGTAAAGACATTTACTACCCCACAATCTATCTGGGTACTTGGAATGAAGAGTTCCCACTAGCAAACTTACAGTTTACAGATATCTGTAAAATTGACAAAAGAAGTTTTCTTGGTTCCTACTCTGACGACCTGTGGAGGTTTCATAACAAATTTCCTCTTCTCTCCAGCAACCATATCTGGATTCTTTTCTCTCATGATGTTGAACACTCGGTTCAGCAACTTTAAGAAAAAAGTGGAATTTAAGCACATTCTTAGTAATATAAGTTTCTATTTGAGACATTTTGCTTTAATGAAGCTGATTTACTTTTATTAAATGTACATATGAATCTGTTATGTTCTGGTAACTTCTTGAGGGCAGAAACTCATTATTAACCAAAATCTGGGTCTTTACAGATGCTCAGATAAGCCCCAGCCCCTACTCATTCTACTGATTTTATGATAAGGTATATGACACATGGGAAAGCCTACCCTGACCACAAATTTGTGACTTGTCACCAATGCCCCACTAACTCACCGAGGGCTTCATACCCTCTGCTGAATACTATCGTGGCAGCCACACTCTGAGTAGGCTGCCCCACAAGATAGTATCCGGAATTGTCATATACTGGCTACATGGCCTACTGGGCTCTGTTTTATCACCATTCTGCAGTTCAGTGACTCTTCTAATACAGGAGATATATACCCAGCCTTTTCTCTGTTCTTAAACGAATAGCTCTAACCCCTTCTCAAAAAAAAAAAAAAAAAAATCTCACCTCTTCATATGTGTAGTCTCTTTCTGAGCCTGCCCAAGCAGGACCAGTTTGGTTACTGAATGAAATGCCATCATCTTTTTTGCTGTCTTCATCTTCTAAAGCTATAAATTAAAAAAAAAAAATATATGAGCAGTGGGCTTTTTGATCCAACAAAAGGGGGTGGGGGAGATGACAACAGATCTAGAGAGTGATAGCTTCAGATAGTGTTCTTCTCTTTCACAGTGGTAACTGCAGTAGCTTCAAGTACAAACAGACGACAGAGAAGTTCTCTCTCCTTTGTAGACAGGAATATTACAACTTCACACAAAGACCTTTCTTTATTGAGAGACATCTATGGTAACAGTGAAATGTTTCTCGACAAACACAAGACAAAATAATACATCAAGTACTTACTTAAAGGAAAGTTTGACTATTTTCAAACCCTTGAGAAACTTTTCTATCTATAAAAACCTATCTGGCCAGGCGGTGGTGGCGCACGCCTTTAATCCCAGCACTTGGGAGGCAGAGGAAGGCGGATTTCTGAGTTTGAGGCCACCCTGGTCTACAGAGTGAGTTCCAGGACAGCCAGGTCTACACAGTGAAACCCTGTCTTGAAAAACCAAAAAAACAACCCCCCCTCAAAAAAAACACACCTGTTTAACTGTTAAAAAAAATTCTAAAAAAAAAAACACCCACACCTTATAGCATATAAAACTATAAATACTAAAAATTTAAAACTCCTGTCTGAATCAGAATGAATTTTATAAACAATATTTATTATACTTTAATTAATGAAGATATAGGAACTAATGCTCACAATTCAGTTGTTGGACAAGCAATTATAGAAGATATAAAAACTCAAAATGGCCACTGCTAAGGCTGTGAAGTGCTTGTCCACTACAGTCATTCCCTAAAGGGCTGTAGAGACAGATCCTAGGGAGAGAGTCCTCTATGATGATTATTCAGGGACTAAGTTTCCTGTGAAATGCAGATGTGGATGGAACAGACATAAGTTTCATAAATGTAGGTCATCCAATATTTAAGGCAATCCCTTAACGTCAGAAAACTAAGGCTTCACTCAATGCCTGACCCACCCCCCAAAAAAGAGCCATTAGTTTCCTGACCACCAAGGAAAGACCAGTCTGAAAAACCAAAGCCCAACATGACAGAGCGGCTCAGAACGTAAATAAACCATTTAAGAGAGATAAAGGAGCTCCTATGGACAAAACTGGAGAGTCTAAAGATATCAAAAAACACGTCTTTTGGCAAGTTAAAATTACATGTAGATGGAATTGAGATCAAAGGCTTAGTGGAGACAGGAGCAGATGTAACTGTAATATCACAGGTTCCTGGAATCTAGCTTGTTTATTTCAAAGGTATCAGCAAAGCTCCTAGGAATTGGGACATTATCTCAGGTAAAACAAAGTCTAAAATGGATTAAATGCATAGGACCAGACAGTCAAATAGAAAATTGTTAATATAGCCATAAATCTTTGGGAAAGAGAGCTACTATAACAGTGGGAAGCACAGAGTAGAATCTCTCCAACTTAAGAGACAGGCTATAAAAGAGAAGGTCCTAATAAAAAACATTTATAACTGTCATTTACAGAGACTGTCATTAAGCAGGATACAGCAGAGGCTGACTCTCTATGGGGGAGCCACTGCTGGTACATCACCAGCTGCCCTACCACTAACATGGCAAACTGACTAAACTGGGTAGAACAATGGTTATAACAACCAGATAGAATAGCTAGTTCAAGAGCAATGGAGGCTCAACATATAGAAGAGTCTACCAGTCCTGGGAATTCTTTGTCATTAAAAAGAAACCCGGAAAATGGAGGATGGTAACAGATCTGAGAGCAATGAATAAAATCATTCAGCCAATGGGTTCTTTATATCCTGGAATCCCATTGCTTTCCATTGTTTCCTTGCACAGCCTATTAAAGTGACTGACTTAAAAGATTTCTTTTCCAAAGCCCTTTGCATGAGCATGATAGAGAAAGGTTTGCTTTCTCAATGCCTACTTATAATAACTCTTGACCTGTTCAAAGATACCACTGGAGGATCTTAGTACAAGGAATGCTGTACAGTCCAACATTACGCTAGTATTTTGTAGAACAGCCATTAGTTTCCATCAAGTTTCCTCAATATACAATTTATCATTATATGGATGATATCTTACTGGCTAAAATGCGGATACCTTAGAAAAAATGTTAGATGAAGAGAATTTTGCCTTGCTGGAGATTACAAACTATTCTTGAAAAAAATACAAGGAGATTCTACTAATTATCTAGGATATAAGATAGGTCTACAAAAAATTTGACCACAGAAAGTACAAATCAGGAGAGACCAATTAAGAACTCCTAATGGCCGGGCGGTGGTGGCGCACGCCTTTAATCCCAGCACTTGGGAGGCAGAGGCAGGCGAATTTCTGAGTTCGAGGCCAGCCTGGTCTACAGAGTGAGTTCCAGGACAGCCAGGACTATACAGAGAAACCCTGTCTCGAAAAACCAAAAAAAAAAAAAAAAAAGAACTCCTAATGATTTTTAAAAATTGTTGGGAGAAATTAACTGGTTAAGGCCCACAACTGGATTAACTACTCAAGAGCTAAGTAATTTATTTCAAACCTTACAAGGTAATTAGGAATTGCATAGCCCAAGAAAATTATCAGCTGAGGCGGAAAGAGAATTCGCTCTGGTAGAAAAGAAATTCCTTCTACTCATTCTCCCATAGGAATATTGAGGCAGAGAGAAGACTAATGCTGAAATTGTCTCATTATGGGCAGAAAATAAATATTGACAAAGAGCCTGCAGTAGTATTTTGGAAGAGATCAACAACTAATAGCCCAAAAGGCAGCGACTTCAGTTAATAAAAAGAAATAACTGGATTCTCCCTTGTATAATAAAATAAACACTGATTTCTGGATTCATTCTATACTGATGCAAATAAATCAGGAAAGGCAGGTTATTAGTCAGAAAATACAAATAAAATAATTCAACATCCATATGATTTAGTTCAAAAATCAAAGCTATATACCATCCTTATAGTATTAGATTTTTCCAGACTCTCTTAATATAATTACTGACTCAATATTCACAGAGTTCTTTTTCATAGAGAAACTGTTGAACTTATTCAGAATAATTCAAAATTAACTCCACTGTTTATTCAACTACAAGTAATTAGAAATAGAAATCATCCATTATATATAACACATATCAGATCCCATATGGGTCTACCAGGCTACCTGGCACAAGGTAATGATGAAACTGATCAGCTATTAGTTAGAAATGTGCTAGAAGCTTCAGAGTTTCCTAAGTAAAAGCATGTTATCAGCATAGGTACCCAAAGAAATGAAACTTGGCAAATGGATGTTTCATTTTACAGAGGTTGAAAAATTAAAGTATATACAGCATACTATACACATATATTCAGGATTTCAATAAGCAACTGCTTTTAGTTCTGCAAAGGCTGATTCTGTAATTATACTCATTAGAAATTATGGGTATTGTGGGCATACCTATACAATGGCCCAGCATATGTCTCTAGTAAAATGAAGCAATCTTTTGCCTATTACAATATAAAGTATTGTACACACATAATCCCACAGCACAAACAAAGAAAAATCCAACTACACTCTAAAAGAGATGGTTAATAAAAAGAAAGGGGTAACAAACACACCCAGAGATGGATTACATAATGCCTTATTAACTTTAAATTTTTAAATGTTACTAAGCAAAACAGCTGCCAAGAGACACTGGATTATAGAAAAACCTGCTGAAATAAATCAGCCCATTTGTTTTAAGAATGTCTTAACTTCAGAACGGAAAAGAAAAGCTATGGATTCTATCAAAATTAATAAAAATTAGATTTGACAAGGGGAGACTTCCTGAAAATCTAGGCTACCCCCTTGAAGGAAGAAACTAAGAACAACAAAACAGTAACATGAATGCTGATCCCTCTACATGGGAACAGCTCTGAGACTGGCTGAGACATCAACGGGTCTCTGCATGACCAATAAATCTTGTTGGCTACAGCGACTTCAAGACTTATGGTATCCTTTCAAACAGCATGGATAAAAATTTCTATTAAAATTTGGATATACAGTTCAAACAGACTTATAAGACTTGATGCCTTTTTCCTGTTCTAAACATAGAACAAAGAATCATCTTTAGCTGAATTGTACACACAGCATATTCCATACATGTGTTAATGTAGAAATGTATACTTTCTTTATACTACCTTTGAAAATTTATGTTTGCGGAGCAAAAGGACAAAACACCAAAGACAAGTAGTCTAGATGATCCTACCTCACATGCTGTTTCCTCAAATATCTGCATCCAGAAAAGCTTCTTTCTATACAGCTAGCTAGTCCACCCAGGACTTCAGTTAAGCCCTGAACTTTCCCATCACACAGACACTAGAGGACAAATATTACATCTAGCTTTCCTATGACTTGACCAATATCCCAATTTTCCTATGGGTCCCCCAAAGATGTTGTTGCCTCCAGACATCAGAAAGCAATTTTAAGAGGATTATCCAAAACTTGGGTGGATGGTTTTGGTAATCTGATGGGTGACAGATGTCTGTTGTCACTTAAAGGGGGTTGGTTGGTTACAAGTAGTCAATGGTCTTGGTCAGAGAGGAAATCAAAGAGGTTAGATTCAGGAATTTCTTTTTTTTTCCTCTATCTTTCCTATTTAATTTAGGGGAAAGGAGGGGGAGAAAGGACAAAAAAGAAAGAAGAGGGGATAAAGGAATGATAAAACAGTAGATTATTTAATCGTCTAGAGAGCCAAATATTTTACATTGGTAAGGATTTTGTATACTGTTACAATTTTAAGGTTATTTTTGCTATAAAATCCTGTGTATATGTTTCTACTTTTGTATGAAGTATTATATCTATGCAACTGATTTTTTAAAAAAAGATTTATTTACTTTGTATGTATGAATGCTAGAGCACCCACATGCCAGAAGAGGGCATCAGATCTCATTACAGATGGTTGTGAGCCACCATGTGGTTGCTGGGAATTGAACTCAGGACCTCTGGAAGAGCAGTCAGTGCTCTTAACCACTGAGCCATCTCTCCAGCCCTATGCAACTCATTTTAAAATGCAATATAAAGTTCCAGTTTTCCGGGCAGTGGTGGCGCATGCCTTTAATCCCAGCACTTGGGAGGCAGAGGCAGGCAGATTTCTGAGTTCGAGGACAGTCTGGTCTACAGAGTGAGTTCCAGGACAGCTAGGGCTACACAGAGAAACCCTGTCTCGAAACAAAACAAAACAAAACAAAAAATAAAATAAAATAAATAAAGTTCCAGTTCTTGAAAGCTGCTATTACAAATTGTTTAAGATAATTAAGAAATACAAGTTAATAATAGTCAACTATACTTACTGTCACATTAAATACTAGCAAATTACAGAAATGTTTCCTAGGTTGAACAGTTAGGAATAGCTAGAAACAAGCAATGTTTGCCTATTCAGATGTACTATATAAACAGGTGGTCTTCAAAAACCTCAGAGACCTACAGCATTTAAAGATCTTTTATTAACATGAGGCTTTTCATGACAATGAGACATCTGTTCCTGGCAGCACTGCCATTCTACTTCAGAGATGACGAGCAAGCCATCATCTCCATATGGGGTTTGCTTCTAATGTGGCAAGATAGTCACTGGGCAAACACTGCCCTTACCTCAACTGCTGTCAGTATGCCGTCCCAACTGGACACAGGGAAGCTGTCTGCTGAACTTTGCCAAGACAAGGCAGACAGTCCTTCCTAATTCTTGCTTCACAAAAAGTCTGCCAGATATTCTAGGCCAGAAGGCTAAAGATGATGCTTGAATGACACAGAGAAACCTTGAGTGACTGTCCAGGTAGCCAGCAACCTCTGTCATTTCTACAGCTTTGGAAGCTGCTTGCACTACATGTCCTGTTTATTCAGATAATATTTGTCTTCCTCAGGTCTCTGATGGGGTTAAAGACTGGATAGTTATAGTTTCACAATTAAGCTTAAGTTGTTTAGGACTTAAGAAAATGTTTAAAAATCTAAAAAGATATTTTTAGGTTGGTAATGCAAATTATTGTAAAAAATAATTTAGGTACAAGACTTTGGACTCACCAAGATAGGACAGACAGTAGAATACTTTGCCCAAGGTTGCCAAATGCAGAGACTGAAAATTATGAATTCTTACCTGATCATTTTTGTGATTATCCTTATTGTACACAGTTTTTGATTTTAAAGACCCTTATATTAGACTAAAAGGCAGAGATGTAGGGATTTTTTTTGTATACTGTGTGGAAGCATCACTTGTGAATTAAAAGCTGATAGCCAATAAGCTGAAGCAGGATCAAAAGGTGGGACATCCAGCGGGGGTGTAGGGAGAACCTCTGAGAGATAATGAGGGGCAAAAATTCACCACCTGGACCCAGAGGAAGTTTGACATAGGAAACTGAAGAGATATAACTAGACATATGGCAGACCTAGATTAGTATAAACCAGTTGAGTTACTAGCTAGTTGGGGAACAAGCCTACTTTAAGGCCTAGGCATTAATTCATAAAGAATAACCTCCAGTTACACTCTTTCTTTTTACATTTCATTATCACGCAGTGGAAATAAAAGGCATGACAAATATATTTTAAAAAACTCCATTTAGCCAAGGAGACTCAGATTGTGTAGCTTAAAACCAAAGTGCTGAATTCCCAACATTACCTTCATCTTTTTCTAGTATTTCATCTTCATCTGGGAATTTAACATTCTTCTTCTTCTTCTTCTTATTGCCAAGCATAATGTCAAGGTCATCCTCTGGTTCAGCCGGCTCTTGAGCGTCACTTTCAATCTTAACATCCTAAAAATTGAAATGTCTCAATATTTTGATACTAGAACTTTTTTAAATGACATAGATAAGTATCATTTTAGAATACTTTTCATATACCACATATCTAAAATTATAGATGAGAAATATTCCTCTCAGGTAGGCCAAATTTCCCCAGACTCTTTGTCAAATGTTTAAACTGTGAATTCCTCAAGATAAGTTTTTCTTCAGCTCTTCTTTTTATTACAGTTTTAGGATATCATTATCTGTATACTAAGCTAGGACTACCTGACTTAGTTGAGAAACTCTGATATTCTTCAATCTTTTAACTAACTGACCACAGTCGACAGAAACAGGATTCAAGAATACTTTCTCCATTTGCCCTATATTGTATTTTATTCAAATTAAATGTTCTGAATAAGTCAATCTACAGAGGCAGATTTAGCAGTAGCTGAGGCCTGAGGTTGCCATTTAGTGGGAAGAACTGGGAGTGACAATAATCCATGAGGTTTGTTTTCATGAGGATGTAACCGTTCTCAATTGATAGTTATATAGGACTCTGAATATGCTAAAGCCATTTACTTTCAATGGATGAATTAAATGGTATGTCAATTATATCTTAATAAACTTTCTTGCTTCATTATTGCATTTGTAGGTATAGTTGTTTATGCTGATATCTCTCTTCAACTCGTCTCCATCCCCTGTAAGTTTCTAAATAGGGTCAATAGAAGGGATTTTCCTACTGACACCAAATACATGGTTATTTTTTACACAATTCTCCAATTCCCTAATACCAATTAGGTACCATCTTATTCATTTGTAATGTAATACAGACTTCCTGGAGTACTTACTCAGATATCCCATGTTTAAAAAGTTGACTTCATAGCTTAAGGGTTCTCATTTCAGACACTAGTGTCACCTGCACTTTTGCTAAGCTACAGATGTAAAGACCTTCTGTTCATATTCAGTAATTTGCTAAAACTCAGCAAAATGTTTTACTTATCATCAGTTTTTCATAAGATTAACTGAGGAACAGCCAAATGGAAACAATGTATAGGACAAGCTATGGGGAATAGGGAGCTGAGGGAATTAAGAAACACTCAGTATGCCTGCCGGGCAGTGGTAGCGCACACCTTTAATCCCAGAACTTGGGAGACAGAGGCAGGCAGATTTCTGAGTCCGAGGCCAGCCTGGTCTACAAAGTGAGTTCCAGGACAGCCAGGGCTACACAGAGAAACCCTGTCTCAAAAAAACAAAAAACAAAAAAAAGAAAAAAAGAAAAAAAAAAGAAAAAGAAAAAGAAAAAAAAGAAACATTCAGTATGTAAACATGCTACCCTATGAACACTTCTGTGAGGTTACCAACCTAGAAGCAATTTGAACTCCATCACTTACAGGTGACAGAACTCAATTTCCACATTGTCCACATTCTCAGAGGTAGCAGGGACCATTTAAAGTTCCAAGCTCTAATTATAGTTTGATCTTCCTAGTGACTAACCATTCTGAGAAACTATCTGGATACTAGATAGTAAAATATGGGTCTTTGAAAACTTAGGAGGTTTTCAGGAGTTGAACATAGGGAACCAGAGGTAAAAACCAAACTTTTTATTATATTTATTACATCAGTTTTGCAGCAAATTGTGAAGAAGTTGCTGGGCGTCAGTTCAATAGATGATACCATGAAAGAGAGAAAGACAGAATTCCTGGGAAATCAGGGTCATGCGATGACTAGGTAGACAAGACACAGCCTGACTCCAAGGCTACTTGCTGTAGGCTTGAATATGAGAGCGGCACATTAAGTCCTAAGGAGGACTCATAAGCTCCCTGCCTAAGTTCCTTGGCTCATAGTTTTTCACCAGCTCATCCTGCTCCCTAACCCAAGTACATTACCAACATGACCTTCAGCACATTTTTTGTGTCTACATCTTAAACGAATACTGATAATGACTATAGTAATTTCACAGATCTAAGAAGGTAAATTCAAATAGATGGAATAAGTGAAATTCAAACATAAGATCTTAAATCTAGCTGTGTAGTTTTGGTGCCACATTAAACACATTAACCTACAGTATTAGCTAGATACCCAGAAGCAGAGGAAAAAAAGTATCACAGCATTTAATAGAAGTAGAACTCATTGGTAACTTTTCAGGACAAAAGCAACTAGAGAAAAAAAAAAGTCAATCAGGGGCTATAGAGATGGCTAGAGGTAAAGAGTACTGGCTGCTTTTCCAGAGGTCCTGAGTTCAAATCCCAGCAACCACATGGTGGCTCACAACCATCTCTAATGACATCTGGTGCCCTATTCTGATGTGCAGGCATACATTTAAGGACACAGTATACATAGTAAATAAATAAATCTTAAAAAAAAAAAATCAACAAGTCAGGTATTAACCAAAATAGATCACGACCATCTGTAACTCCAATTCTAGGAGATCTGATGTCCTCTTTTGGCCTCTGTGGACACTGCATGCATGCGTTGTATAATCATATCAGATAAAACATTAAAAAAAATCTCAAAAATTTTTTAAAAAAAGATTTATTTATTTTATGTGTATGAGTGCTCTGTCTGCATATATAGAAAGAGCATCAGATCCATTACAGATGGTTGTGAGCCATCATGTGGTTGCTGAGACTAGAACTCAAGACCTCTCAAAGAGCAGTCAGTGCTCTTAACCACTGAGCCATTCCTCCAGCCCTCAAAAAAATATCTTTAAATAGTCTAAATTATCCTTGAAATAAGGGGGGGGGGAGGGGGAGACAAAAACCACCAGTTTTAAAAAAAAATTCTTATTTGAGCTTATTTGAGGCCTGGAGAACTGGCTCAGCAATGCCTGCTGCTTACAGAGGGTCAATTCCCAGCACTCTCTGACCTCCACAGGCACCTGCACTCACATGCAGAAACCCACAGTCACAAACACACACACATACATATAATTTAAGAAAAGAATCTTACCCATTTGAATGCCCCAACAAATTGTGCACATTGACTCTGTAATCACCAATACAATCTGCTGATGGGATGGTCATCAAAACCATGACCTTGTTAAACAGATTACTGAGTAAATTACCAATTACATTTAGAGTACACTTCACTTAGGTTTGAGCAAATTATCTACCAAAGAAAAACTTGAGTACATAGTAAAAAATAGGCTCCTCAGTATGTGATTGTTTATGCTTTTTTTCACTAGGAATATATATTTATGATTATACCCAAGACACATATACATACAAAACTACTATATGCTCATAAATGCGTGGACTTTGTTAAGTGACTCCTGATTAGGGTCTCTCTGTGCATGGTGTATGAGAGTCAGTATACACTTGCCTATGATTGTGGGTAGAGGCCTAAGGTCGACTTCTGGGTATTGTCCTCAATCACTTCTCCACGTTACTTTCATTGTTTGGATTAACAGTAAGTGAGTCTGGGAATCTCCTGTTTCCACCCTGCCTAGTGTCAGGGTTACAGGTGCATATTGCCAGGCAGACTTTCATGTCTTGGAGACACTTTAACCACTGAGTGAACTCCCTAACCCCATGTTTAAAATGGCAGCTCTCAGGCAAGGAAGAGTAGTCTTTTAGCTACTCTGTTTCCCCATCTACCCTCTGATTCACCTTCCTACTCACCTATCTACATTTTACTCAAGTGATTTTCAGGTATCTGTACTGCAAATCAAGCCAAGAGGACAATAACCATATACATGATCGTAAGAGAACTCTCCATAGAACTAGCCAGAAGTCTAGATTTCCTATATAGTTACTGCCATCAGTTACCAACTACACACTAGGGTATGTTGTTTGCTGCTACCCAAAGTTTAAGAAGAAGCTACAGTAATATTTGTTCCTCAGGATTTCTCAGTTACAGAGACATCTTAACCAAGATGCCCTTAGCCATACAATTTTAAAGACAGTGGACATTATCTGAGTCCACTGTAACGATACAATATAAGACCTAAATCCTTCCACTGTAATCTTTTATACCATGTAGTCAGATACATTCCTAAGAAAACTACCTTAATAGTAGTAGCTAAGTGCTAAACAACAAAAGCAAAGCTATCAAAAGATGAGGAGGAAAACAGCTATTGGCAACCTTACCAGAATCCCAATTTTACCTTCAATAAGAAAACAATACTACCTTTATAGCTTCTTCAGCTTCATCAATATCAAATATCTTTTTTGTCTTTTTCTTCTTTTTCTTTTGATTAAAGAAGTTCAAGTCATCTAAGTCATCAGAAGCATCTAGAAATAGATAAAAGGTTTCCAGTTACTAACAAAAGGCAAGCATCAATCGGAGCTATGCCAGCTCCTTTCTCAAAGACTCTTATGGTAGTCCTACCACAACCATCAAAGTTGCGGTTCTGAAGAAGCTGACAAGCCAACTCAAGCTTTCTACAAGGATTTGGTTAGGAGCCCAGGTCAACAACATGAAATTCAATAATCAGAGCATGTAATGTCAGAGCACTCCCTGACACAAACTCCAAGACTATCCAATTCTCTTTACTTTGTCTACTTCCCCGTCCCACCCAACCTTCTATCCTTCAATCTCTGGCTCCAGCTCTACCAAACCACATACCCATGACTGCCACTATTCACCTTTTTTCCTACTGTCTTCTTCATCAGCTTCCACATCTTTTTCTTCAGTTGGTTCTGGCTCCACTTCTTTTGTCTCTGAGAGCTGGGTTTCTTCTGTCTGGGCATCACATTCTTCATCTAACATAAAAGGCTTCTTCTTCTTCTTCTTCTTTTTGCTCATAGTAGGATCAAAAATCATCTGTTTTAATTAAAAAACACCAAGTGATAATTCCTAATGAAGCTCACATTCCAAATATCCTTTATTCTCAAAACCCGTATTCTTAAAAGAATAGGATACATTAAAATGCAAAACAGAAGGGCTGGGAGATGCTCAGACTTGCTTGCCATCACTTGCTCATTTGCATGTTCTTTCACAAGCAATACACACAATACAAATGTACAAAAGTCCATCTCACTTCCTTTACATCATTAAACACCTGGAGAACCTCACAGATGCCTTTTAATTTGTAAGCTATCATAAGCTACAATAACTTCACTTTTATTTTCATGAGCAAATATAAACCTGAACAAATTGTGCAATTTATTAAAAGGACTTTAGCAACAACCTATGTGGCATTCCTCATTTGTGGGTGAGGAGCAACAATGTCTAGGCAGATGACAAACATTTTAGTTAAGGTTGATGCTAACATCAGATAACCTAAGACTTGGTTTTAAAATTTTTCATCTGTTGAGGAATGTTTGGAGATGTTAGAGGTAAATACAAAATCAAGACATATTGTATACATGTATGAAACTATCAAACAGTAAACAAAATATTCTAAAAAAAAATTATACTGAAGTTCACATCAACCCTTACTGTTAAGAAATATTTCTAAGGAATCCTTTACTGGTTTTTGTCATGGAATATAAAGTGTGTTCACAGGCCACTTTCATCTAAATCTATTGTAGAACAAGTGAAAAATTAATTTCTAACCTGTAAACTGTTTATACTGATCCCTTGAAAAACTTGAATATATAGGGCACACTCCTGCTAGTGAAGAAAGCAAAATCTTTAGTCAAACAGAACTGGACTCAAGTCCAAAGTATTTTTCTCCTACTATGCTTAAGCTTATCATTTTGCTCATTGCACAGTGACCAAAAACACACTAGAGCATAGTTACCTTGAGTCCAATCCTGACTCTAACTCATATGTGAATTATCCTATGCTTCATGTATACAACGGAAATAACTGAAACCAACTATGACAAAGTTACTGGGAGAATCAACTATCTGACTGCAGTTGTAACTAACACTGATCCTGTCATTGAAAATTCCTCAACTAAGGAGTGATTTTTCCAGACATAACAAAACTTTTAAAAAAATTCTCACATTGATTCTAATAACTAACTGTGATTCTTTTATGTCCATCACAAGACTGAAACCAAGCTATAGTTATAAGGTAAATCCTCATAGCAGACAAGTCTGTGTAAGATATTATGGAAATTTTCATACAGCACCATTACCAAGTCCAGTGCTGACTTACTACAAGGCCTGGGGTAATCCTATATGGAAGGAATGCTATAATCTGTTACAGAGATTTCAAGAACATAGCTCATTTGTGTTTTTGAAGTAGGAAGACTTGGCACAAGGGCAAACGAAATTCCAGGCATTAAACCTTTGATTTTGGCAGAGCTTACAATCCACTCATTTTTTTTCAAGTCTAAGTTTCCCTGATCTACTAGTGGCTTTTTCTAAATTTGTTTTTGTGGTTTGAGACAGTCTTATGTATAAGAGGCTGGTCTTGAACTCCCAAGCCAAGTGCTGGGATTACAGGGACACACTATTACACCTGGCTCAAATGCCTTTTTCACCATTACTCCTTATCAAGACAAATCAAAGATGGGTGAGACCCTAAAATGATCAGATGATAGATAGCTACACAATTACCTTTTCATCCCAAGAAAATTCTAATTTAGGTCTAAAATAGGTAGACTGCAGCCTATAAAAGGCTAGTAGTAAAGTAAACATGCAGAAATCTTATGCCCAAATAACACATATTGTAACTATGTCCCCCAAATACTTAATACATGTTTAATATATTAATACTTAATTTTGTTCACACAACCCTGTAAAACAGTTGCATAAGGAAACCAGAAACCCTAAGTCAGCACCCAAAGCAGAACTCCTCAAATCACAAGATCACACTTGCCAGCTTGGGATATACAATGAGACCTTGGCTTAAAGTTTCATATTGAGGTTGTAGAGGGATTGCTCAGTAATCAAGAGCACTGGCTGCTCTTGCAGAGGACACAGGTTCAATTCCCAGCACCCACAAGACAGCTCACAACTGTTCCAGGAAATCTGAGATCCTCACACAGACAGACACATCTGTAGGCAAAACACCAATGCACATGAAATAAAAATAATTTTAGAAAAGTTTCATATCAAACTCTCCTTGGAGGGCACACACCTTTAATCCCAGCACTTGGGAGGCAGAGGCAGGTGGATCTCTGAGTTCAAGGCCAGTCTCATCTACAGAGTGAGTTCCAGGTCAGCCGGGACTACATAGAGATACCATCCTCGGTCTTCTTTTTACTGTGTGTATGTTGTGGGGGTTTTACTATGTTGTCCTCACATGCAAAGTGTTTCTATGTAGGCCTCAATTTGGGGATTAAAGGTGTGGTATAGCCATAACTAGATTTTTTTAAAAGTTTTTTAAAGTATCTTTTAAAAAATACCTTACTAGATTTGTGCAAAAACCCACTGTTCTAACATTTAGTGGATAGGACTCAAGAATAAGAAAACCTAAGATACTTTTGAGGGGGAAAATCTTAACAGCAAATTTGGACCAGGCTGGGTATGCAGTAACATTTCTCAAAACAATAAAACTTTAATGGTTTTATTAGGTTAAAAGGTTCTAGTGAGTTTTGGGTTTAACTACCAGGTTTAAAAAGGAGTATGTATACTTTATGTCAATAAATCATTTTAAGAACAACTACTTTTTAAAATAGCTTTGTTTGCTATTCTGCCTACCAGTCAGAATAACCCAGTCTGGAAAGTTCCTTGAGTTTACAAGTCACTCCAAGTACAGGTTTTTAGTTAATCCGTCTAAGTTAGTAATCATAAGGGCTTTATCTGGTAATACTTCCCTAGTCAACAGCACTAGGCAAATCACACTTGTAACTTGTTTTCACATCTCTTTCTACGAGTAAATTCCACCTGAGAGTAAAGTCAAAGGCTAAGGCTCTAGTCCCATTCAACTTAAACATGGCCTAACCAACACTGAGTCCTCATTTTCCATTATAAAATGAAGTTGTCCTGACAGGTCTAAGGGCCAAGTTAAACACTTTAGGCTTTCAAGAAGACTGTGCTGGTGTCTGAATGATGGTTCCACAATCTCTGCTTGATAAAATCCTGTTCATCCTCCAGAAATGAATTCTTACCAAAAGACATCAAACGATGTGATTACCAAAAAAAAAATTCTTCAAAATACCAATTCTTCAATGCCCTCATATCACTACAGGTAGTTATTTTTAAGTTAAGAAGTTTGGAACATGAGAAGAAATAAAATAAGGGTTAAACACGGTCTCTCCAAACTCTTCTAACACATTATACAGTAGCTAAGAGCTATGTCTAACATGTCTTCCACGTAAGAAACACCTATCTCTTTCAGATTTTAGTGAGTTTGCAAGAGCTTCCCAAGTCATTTAGATGAAGGCATATTGCACAGAGCTGGGATTCTATTACTAGCTCAGCCACTTGGAATTTTTAGAGGCATTGTACAACTCTAAGCTCCAATTTGCTCATCTCTAAAATGGACTAACAGAATCTTATTTTACAGAACTGTGGACATCGACTTAAACTAGGAATTAGTTCCCATGAAACAAATCTCTAACTCCTTAATACAGTTTCCTAAGTCCTCCATGAACTAGTCAGCTTCTACTTCAACCAAACTAGATGAATATTTCAGACTCTGCACACTTTTTCCTTTCTTCACCATAAACACCTTGTGATCAGTTTTCTCATTGGTTGAGAAAATTCTTATCATTTCTAGAGTCCACTCAAAAGCCAACTCTGTACAGAGCCTTCAACTATTCCTCTTACCCCTCTCCTAGGCCTATAAGTCAAAGTCACAAATTCTTCATAAAGTACTTTCTTGGTGCCAGGAAGGATTAGGCTTCTAGGTCCAACGTTAAGCAACATCTGAGACGAGACCACTCTTTTTTTAAGCCATTTAATTTTATGTGAACTAGAATAAATCTGCAAAAGGCAAAGCCCAAAATGATGGAAAAGAAAGAAAGAAAGAAACAAACAAACAATAAGACGGGGGACGGGGCTTGAAAAATACTGCGATCCAAACCCAGTCAGTCAGCTTCGCAGCCGGACCTTCCTGCTCATCTCGCCTGTTAAAGGAAACTTAGGGACTCGGGACCGAAAACTTTACTCGAAGGGGGGTCACTTTTTGAGACTAAAATATCGTTTCCTCTGGCTCTTTAGATTCCTGTCTTAAGAAATAGAGCCTCGAGCGGGAAACGGGAGCGAGATAACAGCCCGGAAAAGCCAGCCTACAAAGTTTTAACCTCGGTGCTCCACCGGAACCTAGAGGAGCTTCTCGGGGCACCCTGACCCCCTAGCCACGAGAACTGAGGCAGTCATGTTTAGAAAGAAATGCTAGGGCCGCCCGCCCTAATTTAGTTTAATCAGGCAAACTAGCTGGGCATTCAAACCCTTTCAGAGAGGACGACTCAACGTGCTTTCCATTCCGAAACGCCGATCACGGTAGAAAACCGGCCTCGACGCCGCCGCCCTCAGGAGAGCTGGGTGAGACCAAGTCTGAGGATCCAGAGCGCTCGCCGGCTCCAACAGCTCCAGGACGCCTAGGCCGGGCTGCTCCACATGGCGGCAGGCGACAGCTAGGCCGCAGGCCCGGCTTCCCACACTGCTGTGGGTTCGGCTTCCTGCCTCAGTCCTTAGCCCTAACTCCAGGCTCAGCGCTCACCTCGTCCCCGGACATGGCTGTAGTTCGAGCGGGTTCGGCAGGGATGAAAAGTCAGACCGGTCGGCTTCACAACCCGGAGTCAGCGTAGCTCCTGCCGATACCTCTCACAGCACCGCGCTAGGCTCTTGCATCAGCGAAAGGGAACGACACCCCGCCCTCCTCGCAAACGTTGGAAGTGCGCCTGCGCAAACTCATCAACGCGCAGGCGTTCAGTAAAGTCAACCTTACGTGCTTCTCGTGGCGCGAGTTACTAGGCGACTCTCCGGCGCCAGGCAAACTGGGACTTGTAGTTTGTCTTGAAAAGACCGGCTCTTGTGCTTCAGGAGTTTCGAGGGCGTGCACGACTGTTTTAACAAGTCAGGATGTTCGGGTTCTTGTGCTGCTGGTTACCTAAGTAGTTCGAAAAGTGCTATGTAACTTGTAAAGTGAATTTAGGGCCATTTTTCCGGTTTAAGGTTAGTGAAACCATAATATGAACCCGTGGGGCTGATTTCACACATGCCCCTAAAAGTGGTCTAGTATTCGAGGAATTCTAAGTCGAGGCTGGAGGCATGCACCTCACTAAAGGCGTTTCACTTCGTGAAAAGTTTAACCTTCTAGCTTTTTACTTCAAAAGGTTCTTCCCTGGTTTTCCATAGTTAGACCGATTAACGAAACCGCCCTCTGAGGAGAAACAGGCCGGCAAGCTACAGACTGTCAGGAAGCTTCCAAATACAGGCATAACTAGCTTAATAAAGGGGATATGTTGAGAAATGTGTAGAGTAGGTAATTAACTTGTTGACGAACTTCATACCACATAAGGAAAGACTACAACGTCCTAGGCGACATAATCTTCTGAGACCATTAATTATGTGTTCTTTTTTTTTTTTTGTCAAAAGCTTCCTTATATGGTAAGTAACTCCTTGTTTATGAAGTCTTTGCTAGACAATTCTGGATGCATCATCCATTTTCCCTGGGGAGATACAGCTGCCACTTAGAAAGGTCTCGGAGGATACGCTTGTAGTTAAACAACAACAACAAAACAAAACAAAACAAAACGAAACAAAAAACCTGCACTTGTAACCATAGGGAACAGCAAAGTATCACTGTTAGTTTTAAAGAATGCTCAGTTGGGACTTCTCAGATGATTGAAGGAAGGATTTAAGTAAGTAGATGCTATCAGGAGATGGCAGTAATTATTAGGTTTTTAATGCTTCCTGCATAAAAAGAATCAAGTGAGGATTAATCTATGATTAGTGAAAAAGGCCCTCATGTTAGAAGAGATGGAAAGGCATTTAGTAATTTTTGTAGTTGGAAATGTTCTTCTTGATTTATTTTTGTATTCATACATGATTGCTAAGTTTGTCTCTGTTTTGATCTACTGAAATCACAAAATGAGCTGGGCATGGTAGCACTTAACTATCCTAGCACTTGAGAAGAGGCAGGAATATCAGAATTTCATAACCAGCCTGGACTGCATAAGATTTTTATCTTTTTAATTAATTAATTAATTAATTAACTAACTTACTTTATATCCTGACTGCAGTTTCTTCTCCTCCCAGCCCCGAGCCCACATTCACTCCTTCATTTCTCTTCAGAAAGAGAAGCCCTCCCACTGATATCAGCCAGTCCTGATATAGCAAGTTGCAGTTAAGACTAGAGGCATCTTATCCTATTAAGGATAGATGAGGCAGCCCAGTAGGAGGAAAGGGTCCCATAAGGCAGGCAACAGAGTCAGAGAAAACCCTGCTCCTGCTGTTAGGAGTCCCATGTGAAGACCAAACTACACAACTATGACATATGTGCAGAGGGCCTAGGTCAGTCCCATGCATGCTCTCTGGTTAGTGGTTCAGTCTCTGTGGGCCCTGTAGGCCCAGGTTAGTTGGTTCTGTAGGATTTCTTGAGGTGTCCTTGACTATTCTGGCTCCTACAATACTTCTTCCCCCTCTTCCACAGTATTCCCCAGGCTCTGCCTAAGGTTTGCCTGTGAGTCTCTGCATCTTTTTCCATAAGTTGCTAAATGAGACCTCTCTGATGACAGTTATGCTAAGCTCCTGACAGGAGTCCCTGGTGCTGGAGTGACCTCCAGGAAAGCAGCCAGAGTTGTGGACCAGAATATGGAGCCCAGGGGATGGGGTGAGATCTTGTCTTAAACAACAACAAAACAAACAAACAAACAAAATAACTGGGCAGTAGTGGCTCTCTGAGTTTGAGGCCAGTCCAGTATACATAGTGAGTTCCAAGACAGCCAGGGCTACATAGAAAAACCCTGTCTCAGAAAACAAAAACGAAAACAAAAAAAGAGAGATGGTTTTAGTGTTTTCTTACTGATCATTTTGCTGTGCACTAAGTATAAATTTATTCTAAAAATGAATGAAATTAAAACAATATTCTATGAAATTCCTTAGTTCAGCACACACTGGATGCTAACATCAGCACAGCTCCCCGCTCTCTGAGGCCGCTCTCCTCATTATGCTCCATAATCTTTAATATGTTCTCTGCTTTAGGCCTGAAGATAACTGAGGTAACCCACAAATATTTAAAAATACTTTCTGCTGTATATCTGTTCCTAATCTAAGCAGAGCACATTCTTGCCTCCAAGAAACTTACAATTTAGTGAGAGAGATTGTTTATTCACCCTGTTTTTCAGATGAAGAAACTGCTTGTAGAACATTGAAAATATAGCCGGGTAGTGGTGGCGCACGCCTTTAGTCCCAGCACTTGGGAGGCAGAGGCAGGTGGATTTCTGAGTTCGAGGCCAGCCTGGTCTACAGAGTGAGTTCCAGGACAGCCAGAACTACACAGAGAAACCCTGTCTTGAAAAACCAAAATAATAATAATAATAATAAAATAAATAAATAAAAGAAAAAGAAAAGAAAATTTATCCACACACAACAAAAAAAGTGGACCCTGGACAATCCGATACTGATGGCTGTTCTTTTACTTTAAGAATCTGAATTGCTGTCACCAAACCACAGTCTTCTTTAGCGACTAACATCTATGCATACCAGAATTTCTTACCAACAACACTATTGACATTTTGGACAAGACAACTCTGTTATAGGTTCCCTGCACGGAGGCTATTCAGTACGTGGTCTGTATTCATAGATGCCAGTAGCACATTCCCTCCAGTCATGACGTTACCTGATGTCTCCTGAGGGGTGGGATAAACATCACCCCTGGTCGAGAACCATTGATATACACATCTTTTCTCTTTCTAGATTATTGAGATGTAACAAATATTCCTGGCTAGTCCTCAACTCCCTGAGTGGAGAGGCCTTACAGAGGGGAGTAAGAAGCTGTGGATCAAGTTTCAGAAAAGCCTGTTCATTCAAAAGATAAAGACTGAAGGAAAGAAAAAATAAAGTGGAAATGAAAGGAAAAGTGACAGAAATGGAGAAAGGGAATTCACAGGAAATCACCTTTTCATGATTCAGTTCATGCTAGCAAAGATACTTTTTTTTTTTTTTTGTCAATTTAATCCAGGCTAAAGTCATCTGAGAGGCAGGAACTCCAATTGAGAAAATTCCACCAAGCCTGTAGGGCATTTTCTAAATTAGTGATTGATAGGGTTGGACCCAGCCCATTGTGGGTGGTGCTATTCATGGGCTGGTGGTCCTGGAATCTATAAGAAAGCAGACTGAGCAAACTACAAGGAGCAAGCCAATAAGCAGCACTGTTCGTGGTCTCCGCACCCTCTGCCTCCAGGTTCCTGCTCTGTTTGAGCAGCTGTCCTGACTTCCTTCCTGATGGACTAATATGTGGAAATATAAGGTAAATAAACCCTTTCCTCCACAAGTTGCTTTGGTCATGTTTGTTTGTTTGTTTTATCACAGCAATAGAAACCCTAACCAAGTCAGAAATGGAAACCAGGTATTGGGTATTACTATGCCAGACCTGACCATGTTGTTTAGAGGAAGATTGTGGAAGGACTTTGAACAGTGTTGGGCTAAAAAATCGTTGAGTGTTCAAAGCTTGGTGAACTGTTCTGTGGGAGCTGGGAAGATAAGCATGTTGAGAACAGTATAGAGAATGGAGGCCTGGCTTGTGAAGTTTCAAAGGAAAGTGTGAGAATTTTCTGAAGACTCTCCCGGGGCTATTGAATATTTTAAGAATTTATGAGTCTGGTTAGCTGGAGCTGAAGAAACATCAGCTGTGATTAACAAGAGACCACAAACAACAAAGTAAAACCTTTGTTTTACTGGGACAATAGATGCTGGTGCTGAGAAATCAGAGGCTGATTAAGAAGAGCCCAGCATCACTGAGGTAAAATCTGGGAAACTTTTCCTGAGAGTTAGCACACAGAAGCTGTATTCTAGAGGTGGCCTAGGTTAGACCTTGTCCTAGCAGCCAAACTTGGTACCATGTAAGAGTCTTCCAGGTGGTGCTGGTTTTGAAGGCATTGAAGGAGGTTGTGGAGAGCAGCTGAGGCTTGGCACTGTGAGATGCCAGGAAAGGCTATTGGTGAAGGTGCAGCCTCAGTAGCAGTTGAAACTCCAGGATTGAAGAGGAGTTGAGACTTGGCACCATGAAGAGAGTTCAGGAGAGGCTTTGGTGCCAGGGAAGCTCAGCTGTAGCAAGAGATGTCAGCATTTTGGAGGTGTCAGTACCCTAGGATGATCACCAAGAATAGAAGCAGCAGTGGAATGGAGCCAACTGGCATTTAGAAGACATGTTGTGTATGTTGTAGAGGGCAGAGCTAGGGAAGTGACCCAAGCCCTTAGGGGGAACCCAGAAGACTGTGAGTGAATCCCAAATATTGAACATTGGATTATTTATAGTGTAGGAATTTGGTTTTGCTTTGTTTTGATTGTAAGTGTGCCCCAATCTTAAAGCAAGGAAGGATTTTGTAGCAGTGTATTTCCCCACTACATTAAACTCGGTATTTTGGAGGGAACAAATGTGGGAGGCGTAAGGAGAGGAAGAGAAGGAGGAGGAGGAGCTAGGAAAGCGGAGGAGTGGCAGAATGAAGGAGCCATGGATTTTTACAAGAACTGAATTTTTTTTTCCATTTCTGAGAAAATTTTACTGGCCTTGTGGATAGAATTTATTTGCCAGGAAGGATGAGCCCATCGTACTTCTGCTGGAACCAGCACATGGCCTCCTTTTTGCTGATTCTGTTTGGCCCCAATTGCAGCCTGTCTGCACTTCTTGTCCGCGATGCTGAAACCTGGCCTACCCAGCATCACACACAAGTCAAGGCCGTAGATACCAATGCTTGGGTCATATTTGATGCCCAGGTCAATGTGTTCTTGAATCCCAAAACCAAAGTTTCCAGTA